CAGCTAAAGGTGACATAGATACTTTATTATGGTATAGTATTTAAATATATGAGAAACACAAGAAATTGCCCCTTTAGGTCTGATGATAATTTGAGTATGCTGTTTTTATCAATGTGACTCAGGACCTGTATCTGATACTGTAAATGTATCATGGATACATACAGTATACAGTATGTACTGTGTATAATGTCTTGTAAAGTATTTAGTGTGATATAGTACACCCTCTTGATCAGCTTGTTACTGTCTCCATGACATGCAGGATCTGCGACAATGTGGCATGTTTTCATCAAATTTATAATTTCTCTCAGACCGCATCAGGAGGTAGAAACATGCTGCTCCAGTCTCTCTGTCCACATCCCTGTCTCCAGTCTTTTTGTCCATATCGCCAGTCTTTTTGTCCATGTCTCCAGTCTCTTTGTCCATGTCTCCAGTCTTTTTGTCCATATCTCCAGTCTCTCTGTCCATGTCTCCAGTCTTTTTGTCCATATCGCCAGTCTTTTTGTCCATATCGCCAGTCTTTTTGTCCATGTCTCCAGTCTTTTTGCCCATGTCTCCTGTCTTTTTGTCCAAGTCTCCTGTCTTTTTGTCCAAGTCTCCAGTCTTTTTGTCCATGTCTCCAGTCTTTTTGTCCATGTCTCTGTCTCCAGAACATACAGCACAGCTGGTCTCACTGCGCTCTTGTAAACCTTTTCTTTGATTTTTGTTGTCATCCCTTTGTTACAAATCACTCCTGAAACTCTTCTCCATCCTGCCTGGACTCTTCTTCACCTCTTTTCCATACTCCCTCTTTTCCTGGACAGAGGACAGTAAATCTTTGAAATCTTGGACCTTTGTGACCTCAGCTGTTCCACCTGCCTCCCTCTCCATCACACACCTGAACTCTGTTCAAAACTGTTGAATCTTCTGCTGGAACTTGTGAGTAATGATGATCTCACCGTTAAAAAGGATTCCATCAGCTACTGTGATTTCACTGTGATGATTCTACTCATTGATGAGTGATGGGCATTTTTTTCTTTGTCTCCGTCTAGCCTAAATGGATGACATGTCTGTGGATGGACAACTGCTGATCTTCAGCTGTGGCTGTTTTGTTTCTCTGGACTCACTGGCATGGTGCTGATGACAGTGTGTATTTAAGATTTAATGTCCTCAGTTAGTGAACTGTCTTCATCATCTGTGGAGCTTCTTCACAGTGTGTCCCTGGATGAGAGTGATGCTGTACTTCTGCAGAGCAAGCAACATGTGCAGGGCTGGATTTAGGGGATGTGGACCCCTAGGCTTGAGCCAATGATGGGCCCTACTTATTTATAGCTATGCTGTTATACATGTACATCCACACACAAACAAATGTGTAAATACAGTATATATTTTTTGTACTGATTACAAGTTGTAAATTATTTCCTATAAACACTCCCCTTTATTTCAAAATTACACATACTATAAGACAGAATGAAAAAGTGCTATACTCAAGTATATTTTACAAAGCCATATGAACAAGTTATACATATACAAATAACCCAGCATTTAGAAGTCCTTCACAAGTGAAAATAAGGTATTAAAACTCAAACTCAGTTCTTTGTTTCAAACTACGAAACAAGGAATGCCAAAAAGTACTTATCTGCTAGTCACACATGAATATAAAAACAAATATAGTGTTCCTAGAAACAATACTCTAAACCAGAGGTTCTCAAACATCGTGTCTAGTTGTCCTCCTCCTACAACGCTGTTATTGAAAGTATGACTCCGCCCCCTGTGAGCAAAAATGTGTGAATCAGGGCACCAATGATAGTCGTGATGGGGCACATAACCCTCTATGTACAATAGAGCCAATGAAGGCACTAACAACCCATTGTTTGGCTGATGGTCCTCTTTTGCATGTGACCAACCTGTTTGTCCATGTGGAGGCAGTGCTTATAAGGCTGAGTTCACCTGAAACTCCTCAGACTGAAGAAGTCTCTTGGAGGAGAGACGAAACGTTTCACTAAAGAAGAACCCGTCCGGACCTACATATTTTTCTTTTGGTTCAGTCCTTTAGTTTCTTAAAACCTATATAAACTAAAGTGGACCTACACTTCAATGTCCACCTAAGCCGGCAAATAAGTAAGTAAAAAATTAGTCCAAGAAAACAAAACAAACAAACAAAAAAATAAGAACCCGTGTTGCAGGCCTGATATGATAGTGAAGCTTGGGAATGTGATACCTTAATCGAAAGGAAAATCTGGAACCCTTGAATGCCACCTGTCCTTTAGTCCCTGACTGTTGTTGGAAAGAATATGAAGCTGCAGGATGTTGTCAGCTCCTATAGTAGCCTCTTGGTCCTCAGGCATTAGCCGGCAGCAGAAAAAGTCCACTGAAGATGCAGTTCTCCAGCACAATCATATACACTCTTTAGAGTAGGCTCATATCTCTGCACTAGGCTTAACTCAGGAAGCTTCCACACCAGAAACATTAGTTAAGTCTCATTCTGTTGGCCAATTTAGCTTACAGTACTCAATGTCCGTCCACTTGGCTAATGGATGCTAATGCATTAGAATCAGAATCAGCTTTATTGTAATTCAAACATAACATCAGGGATGCAATGTAGAACGATATTGCAGTTAAGAACACCCGTTCAAAAGAAAGACGCATAACAAACATAGGGAAACGAATGAACAGGTCTTGTGCAAACAGGTCACGCTACC